CCATTGTCTCATCCCGACCGCAGCTTCGCTTGAGATGGCACCAGCACCGAGCACCCTCATCCCTCTGCCCCCCCAAAGTCCGTGGGGCACAGCTGGACCCCACAACCATCTCCTGGCAGAGAAGGAATCAGACGCTCTGGACCTTTCAAAGAGGCAACAGCCTCCCCGTGCTGGCGGGTGCAGCTGCCTCCACACACACACGATTCAAGTGGATTTAATACTTACATAAAAAAAAGGGACAATGTTTAAGGGTATAAAAAAAGAGTCGGTAGGAAAAGCGGCACAGACGAGTGTCTAGACAGAGCAGGAACAGTCCGGGTCAGGTGAGGAGAGGCTCCACCTTCATCTTCTTCACCGTCGTTGGCCCCGTGTCTGGGCTGGGACACTCCTGCTTCAGACTGTCACCATGCTCCACCAGCATGGTCCCAAGGTCAGGGCATGGCCCCCCTGTGCCGTTGTGCTGGGAGAGGGGCTCCTCCTTCAGCTCCCCACGACCTCCGGCGTCAAATCTGCAGAGCTGTTCGGGTTTGGGGAGCTCAGCGCTTTCCACCACCACCGGCCCTGTCCACTCTGGGACCTCCAGCCCCAAGTGCTTCATCAGCTTTGTCATGACATCATCGACGTAGGCGTGGATGCGCAGGTCGGCCTGTCTGTCCTGGGGCAATTGAGGGCAAGTGTGGCATTAGGGGACAAAGTGTGGGGACAAAACATCCCCTCCCAGGGAGCGCGTGGGGACAGGGCCTGGGTGATGATGTGATGATGGCTCAGCTGCACGCGGGCTCCAGGGCTGAGACACCAGCTCTGGTGGAACATCACCTCATCTGGCACCGCTCCCCAACTACCCCGCGGGCTGACAGGGCTCTGGCAGGGTGTGGGCAGACAGTCACGCCTTGAAACACAGCCCAGGGATGGGGACATGGACACAGAGCCAGGCTAAGGAGCGCTGGACAGAGTGGCAGAGGGACAAGGGAGCTCTGATGACATCCCAGAACCCCTGTGGTTATTCAAAAGACTTTGGACAATTAGGGCATCAAAACCAAAACTCCTCTGCCCCGTGGCGTGAGTTACGCGTGTGCAGTTATTTCATTGAGTGTAACTCACCGGGGGGCACATCAGGCTTTGGGCTGAGTTTTTATTCTGCTCTAAAGATTGTGGGGTGATCGTCCCGCTCTGCTCTGCACTGGGG